GTTGCTTCTAGTGATGTACACTGCGAATGAAGACTCTGGAGTAGAGCTGAAAATAAAGGAATCGAATGTTCACGAATAAAAGCTCGTTCGTTTGTTAATCGAGCCGAGTATGAACATACACAAACACGAGCTCGAACAGCCCAAGCTCGCTCGTTTACAACACTACTCTGGATTAGCTTTTGATCTTAGCAAAGAAAATTAGATATTATGTGCACAAGTAAAATGATGGTTGAGCTCAATATAAAGCTAGGGTTGCTGATTGTAAGAAAAATGGTACATCCTGCAGAGTTGCGAATTTTGCGGCAAAATAGGAAACTTTTTCATGCCACACGATCCAATCTAATTATTGTATCCTCAACATCCACTCCAGGCAGAAAAAGTAAAATTTATGACAAGAGCCAACCCAGAATAATAATAAATCTGGAAAAATCTTTCTCAGGCTCCGATTTCATCCACCGACTAACTTTGAAGCTGGAACAAACACTACCAAATGCGTGTACAAATGCGCACGGTAAGTAAGTGGGGATTTGTGGATTAGCGGATTGGGTGGTATTGGGCTGATATTCTCTTCGGAGGAAGCTTGCGTAGAATGTACAAGACAAGAACTGAAGGAAGAATCTCGACCAACTGTTGTATGCAAAAATAGTTATACCAGGACATGATATCGTATATCAAACTTAGAAAATGCTTTATTATGTAGACCTAAAAAGAGGATTTGATACCGTGTAATAGACAAAGTTCAGAACGGGATGGTCCAATACGTCGAGCGATGCATCTAAATCGAAAGCTGATAGCACAACCTGCGGAAAAAGAACAAATTAGAGGTTAGTGCCAGTAACAAGATCCAAGTGGGACGTAATTTATCAGCAAATAGTATAAGTAAACGGCAATTTCTGAAACTTACCACGAAGCACCTTATAAGAAAACATGTGAAGCATATAGCAGTTACAGATCCAACCTATAAATGATAAACGAACTCTGGTCAGTTCACGAAAGCCACAATAAAAGGAATGTGTATTCCAATTTGATATGCGATAAATAGGCACACACCTCGTGGAGTTTCTTCCTTCTCCCTTTAGATTCAATAGGGAATCGCCTAAGCATGAAAAACAACCTGCAAGAAACATAACAAACAAAAAAAAAAAAAANNNAAAAAAAAAAAAAAAAATCAAGCTAAAAATTGGAAGAAATCATTCTGAAGATATCAACTATGATTTGCAAAAAAGCAATCAACAAGAGAATTTTCGACATTTACCTTCCTCCATACAGCAAAAACCCTAATGCAGCTATAAATGACACCACTGTGGAGATCACAAGAGATGAGCAATATCACATGAAAAGCTTCAACTTCACATAAATGTTTATATGGAATTGAATCAAAATATATAAATTCAGATTTACCTGCGATAAATATCTTTCCAATGAATTCCACATTGCTGTTATTATCTATCCAGAGATACACCCAAATACAACCCTGACGTCAAAACCATTTTCTTGTCAGATTTTAACCAATCACGATTTACTCCGTCCATCCAACTTCTTGACAAAAAGATTTTTACCATTTCGAAAAAGGTTTTTAAACCAACGGTCATTTATCTATATCCTACCAGACACATGAGGACCTTTTACAGAAGTAAACTGATGTTAGAATGTTAATCGTTTCCATGCTAAGATCTTTAAAAGGCATATGTTGAAGTTTCAAAATGGAGAAGAAACGAGAAACAGATGCCAAATCTAGCTATGAAGTATGTGTTGCCCAGAAGTTCAGCACTTCATTAATCTTGTCACAGTGTGTTCTTTTGCTGTTTGATAGAGTTAGTTTTACATTTTTAGCCAAGCTAACATGCCAATATCAATCCATATAGTGATCTTACTTTTTCAAATATCTGAATATTTAAAAAAAAAAAGGAAAAAAAAGAAAGGCAAATTGAGATCATGAAAAGCCACAAAATATACTGAACCGAAGTTTGGAACCTAGGGACTTGGTAACTAATTTATTCGTAACATTCTATGAACTTCATGCAGTTATTAGGATACTGATAACAATATACCATCTTCCCCTCTCAAAGATTTGGTTTGGCTTCTCTCCTGGATATTGAGCATGACCCCTCTACGTATCAAAGTTAACACTGCCCCTCTTCCATTCTGCATCTTATTTTATTGTGTTCTAGTCTAATCAGCAGAATCAGAGAAATATTTTACCAAAAAATCTAGTCTGACCCTTTTTTCCAGATTCTTCCAATAGATATCTAAATCAGTTTCTGAATAGATTCTACTAACTCGAGACTTCAATTTTCCTTTAGGATTTCCTTGCATTCAAGTTTATACAACTGAACTGTGAAAGCAGCTTATTTGTTTCACCAAGTCACAATATTTAGGTACAACAGCTGAAGAGAAAACAACCAATGAATTAAGTGTAAAAGAGAACACTCAAACAGTATAAACTTGGTTTAGAGATACAAAAGATTTTAGAAAGACTTCTACAAGCAGTATATGTATATAATAGAAATTATGAGAAGTCCACAAAATTTTCAATGATCACAATCGCCATAACTAGACATATAAATTGAAAATCACGAGATAACAATAATCAAAGACGGGCTATATAAGTGGAATCACAGGGCACCTGTATAAAGTAAATGGCGCTGTTGATAGAAATGTAGAAAATCCTCAGTTTATCGGTTGGCAAACTTCTAGCCTGACCAATCAGAAGAATGAAACTGTCAGTGGTTCTTGTGACAAATGTATTTACGGCTCACTTATTGCATGAGTGTTATGGCCACAAGTATACAGCTCTAACTCCGAGTTTCTAACAAGAATTCTCCAATTATACCTGATGATATATCTCAGCCCAAAAAAGGACAAGAAGGGTATATGTGGAAAAGAATAGCAAGCCAGGAAATTCCAGCAGTAACAATGTCAGGACCTGATTGGGAAAAATATACATTAATATTGAGCTTATAGCATGAGAATAGTCACAAGAAGGATGATGATATGTAAAATCATTCCCAGTGAGAGTCGTTTAACTTGTTAGCAAAAAATATACAGAAAATTCATAATATAATATTTCAGACAAACCCAAACCTTTTAATAGAATCCAATGTGTTCACGAAACTGAGAAACCTTTCATGAATTCTCAATTTGAACACAATCATATTCAAAGCGCATTAAGAAGAAAAGACCAGGGCCATTTGATCAATCAACAGTATGAAGCACCATGAAAATTTCGTATACCTTTTTTGCTACCTTAATACTATCATCTCAATAGATCCCTAATCTCAAAAATCTTTGTGGAACTTGTTCTTCAAATCTAAGACCCCTCTATCTGCATATCTACTATGCTGGAAAGCTTCAACTAGAAAGGAAATCAGATGATTTAATAGAATCCATTATGAAGCATACTAACGAGGTGAATCTTACCTTTGGGTGCAAAAGATACACGTGCTTATGAAATCCAAACACAACAGCTCGCACTGCAATGTGCACCCTGACCGTTAATTCTCCATTCAATAGAAATATGAATATGGTGAATCACTATATTTTAGTGATTTCTCTTCATACCTCCGTTCACAATGAAGTTCATGAGGTGGAAAACCTTTTGAGTGGTCCAACCATACTCAGGGACTCGGAGTTCAATCCTTATCAATTGTATCTGCAGAAAAAACATATACATCACATTTTAACAAAAGTTGTTTCTTCATGCACCAATAGTTCCATGCTTATGTTTAAAAGCACAAGTAGTTGATAAAGAAGAATGCCAAACAGCATAATTACAAGTGGGGAAACAACATCAATCAAGCCGTTGTTAGTTTCTTTTCTCATCCAGCAAAGTTTAAAAGGATTTAGCTGTTTTCTTCTTTCTAGCACAGGTTAAAAGTTGTTCTTTAGCTAAGACAGAAAAAGACTCTGAAGTATATAACATCTCCCCTGAAAGTTGTTCATTTAAGGTCCCCATAACTAAAATAGGCCCAATTATTTTTGGGACAAATGGATTATTCAAAATCAGATCTTTCACTTCAATCAGTTTAAGCAGCAAAATCACACTCGCAAAAACGCATATTAAAACCAGCTCGCATATAGCCCGTGGTTCTTCAGTTTCTGAACTTCACAGGCGAAGCAGAATATTCATACACAAATCCACAAACTGAATCAAAAAACCAAATAAGGCAATCAATAAGATGACAACAGTATACCCCCAACTTTTTCAGTTCATAAGCTCCCATTGCACGGGAAAACTAAGCAACACGAAACCGAACCACAAATTGAATTTAAAAAACCCTCACAAACTCCATGAAAATGAAAGTATTTTCCCAAAAAAAATTGACGAACAGTAACAAGATAGACTAACAAGGGCAACAGCCGAGACGGCAGCGTACGCCGCGCAGAGGGAGAAGAATATCCCGTCCTGCCATCCTACGGACTCGTTGATCTCTTCCCACCAGGTGACCGCCGGCCCTCCGTCGCCTGCACCAATCGCCGGGAAGCTCAGTGGCAATCTCGTCATTTCACCTCGGCGCGCGGCGTCTCTCTCTCCCCTCCGTACACTCTCAGCTCGCTCGCCTTGCCCAAGTGAATGTGGCGACCAATTGATTAGCTGTTGGTGTCAGTTTTGTATAATAATAATAATAATTTTTCTAATCTGAGGAGGAGATCAAGTCGTAGACGCCATGGATGAGAAATAAAGAAATGCCTGCCAAAAGAGGAAAAAAAGGAAATAGAAAAGAAACGTAAGCAAATTTGTAATTGACGTAAAAAAAGTTAGAAAGTGATATTTAGTTGTGGAAAAAGGAAGGGGAAAAAAGGGTTATGGATCTCAATAAATAAAGGGAAACGTGAAGGTCCCGTTATCGAACCATTTCATCGGAGTTCGTAATCGTTAGATCATCATGTAGCTGTCAGAAATAGTTGATCTAATATTGATCTAACGGTTACAAACCCTAACAGAATAATTTCGTAACGAGGCCGTAACATCTTCCATAATAAATTCAATTTAAATTTCATAAAGATGTAAGTCAAATTAAATGGCGAAAAAACAAATATAATTTTTTGCTAAAAAAAAGCCTTAAATAAGGCTTAGAGCATCCATAATGCTTTGAGTCTTTTAGAAAAAAATCACATGCCATGTAGAAAATAGACATAGTCTATTACAAAATGTTTCACAATGCAATTAAAAGTGGACCTAGTCTAACTTATGTGGCACTAGAAAAAAGAGGAAAGAATGACCCGGTGCACGTCGATAATAAGTTTTTATTCTTTAAAGACGAGATAAGTTTTTTATTATCATTCTTAACTTTTACTTACCACTTGTACGAACTCTCCAAAGGATAAAGATACATGGGTTTTATTTCCACCCCCTTACAGAAGCAAATCCCCTTCTCTCCATCTGTCGTCGCGGCTTGCTCCCCTCCTCTGACCATGGGTTGGACCAGTGATGAGCGGCCTTCTCCTGCGGGCTCCGCCTTTCTGGCCGTGGGGTGATTCCCGACACCACTGGAGGGTCTGCATCTGAGGGCCATCGAAATAGCCGCCAACGTCGCCCTCTCTTCGAGATGGTCTCCCTCTCCGGTTTCCTTCTCCTGCCGCCTGCAACTTCCGGCGCCTCGAGGTGAGGGTTAGCGATTTAGGGTTTCACAAATTTTTTTTTTTTTTTTGGAGGTTTCATTGATTGATCTAGATGTATGAGTTGTTGGATTTAAGATCTGAAAAATTGAAGATAGAATTCCAGTAGCACCTTCGCATTAAGATAATTTCTGAATTTAATATCACATTTTTTTTATCGTCTCCCTACTCCCGTCACCGGCAACGTCTGCCGCCTCATAGTGTTACACAAATTCTTAATTCTTTCTTTGTTTATTGTGGATTTAAGATCTGATTTGAAAATAGAATTGGCCATGGTATGTTCCAGAACTCTTGTTGGATTTGAAAGGAGATTTGTTAGAGTTAATTTGATGTTTATCTTGAGTTAGTTTGATGTTTATCTTTGAGTTAATTTGATGTTTATCTTGAATTAGTTTGATGTTTATCTTGAGTTAATTCAAAGTCTGCCCATATATTTGAGTTATGAAAATGCATGCGTCCTCATTCAGATGGGATCCCATGAGTCGCTCAAGGAGAAGTGCAATCGACGCTTTTTGACTACTTGCACTGCACGCGTATTCGCCTCGATTTGTGGCGAAGCTGATTGCAAAGGTTGAGAAAACAGAAGCTTGAGCTGGTTTTATGAAGTTTTCAATTTGGTTTATATTGAGTTGTATAATGGTTTACTATTGGTTTATTGTTAATGACTTTATGATATAGAACATTCCCTCGAGTTTTATTGTCCTACACTTTTTTCATATTAGTTTTTTCTGGCAATTGCCTTTTGTATTTCTTTTTTTTTTTTTTCAGTACATGCCCTTAGTATTTCGAATGAATAGTTTTGTTTTATGATATTATTTTATAAAAATCAGTTAATTTTTGTCGTAAATGTATTTTATAAAAAAGTAATTTTTTTTTTCTTGTTGAGGAGGTTTCATTGATCTAAAATATATGATTTAATTTAAGATCTAAAAAAGTGATGATGGAATTCCAGCGGCCCAAGAGATGACCATTATGCGGGTCGTGTAATGGTGTTCGGTGGTCTGCTTGCCGTTGGCAAAGTGCTGGTGGAGCTGCCGACCTCCAAGTTTAGAAATAATTTGTGTTCTTGTTAATTTCTAAATACTTAATGTGATGTAATTGTGTTTTGAATGATTTTGGAAGTTAATTTGATGTTTATATATAAATAAAATTTGACTATGGTTATTAATTGAGTTTTTTTTTTTGTTTTATTTGTAGTTTATTTTCAGTTTATTTCTTTAATTAAATTTTGTCTATTTACCTTTTTGTCATTTAGTTAAAAATTAGATAATAACCTTAAGATTAACTAAAAGTTCAAAATTTGTCTTAAATAAAGTATATAGATAATATAATAAACTAAAGATAAATTGAAAATAATCTAAAAATAAACTTAAGATAATCTAAAAATAAACTTAAAATAAACTGAAATAATCTAAAAATCAATTTTTTTTTTTTTTTACAAAGTATGA